TAGAGAACAGCCAGAAAATGAAGCACACCCGGAATTGTTCCCGAAGACGGAGCCAACGCCACCAAAAGAACCGAACAAGAAGAACAATAAGGGCAAATTCAAGCGTAAAAATCCGACAAAAATGACCCAAACAAGCTCAAGAAATTAACACACAAAAACACCCATTTAGAGTCCCAGGTATGAAGCCTGGGGAGAGCTGTTATATATGCAAGGCACCTGACCATAGTGCCAAGGACTGCCCAACAAAATCTGAGTGGGAAAAGAACAAGGTTGGTTTTTATTAACTGGGACTTATATGAATGTAAGGGGAGTAGATTCTTTTCTTATTTCTTTAACACATCTTGGCCCAATTTTGTCTTGCCAAATTTCTGTAAGTGAGGAAAAGGGGAAAAAAAATTAATTTTCCAAATTTTTCATTATGGGTTTACTATGATGATCTTTTTAACGACAGTAACTCTGATGTCTGCTTACAATTTGGCATTTAAACTGACAGAAATATTTGTATCTTTTCGTGCCTCTGGATTTAATATTTCTTCTATATTGAATTATAGAAAGGAGCCTTTTTGGAACTTGATATTTACTGTAGAGTAGAGACTTGTAGATTACTAACTGTTGACTATGGTTGTTTTGGGTGTGATATGGTGTTTGTAGATAAGTTTATTTTTTTGACAGAGTGGCCACAGTCTCAAGAACTGCCGAAATAAGAATGAAGAATCCTTTGAAAAGAAATCGTGTTGTAATTGTGGAGAAACTAGTCATTCTCTGGATAAATGCCCACAACCTCTTCAAGATGGTAAATCGCATCTCCTTTACATTTTCCATGTCATTGCTCTTTCTCTTTTTGTATCTAAAATGTTCTATTGATATGCCGGGAATTGTCACTTCATGGACAATTTTTCTTATAGTATCATGATGCACGATATTGATACAAATGGGGTGATAGTTCTATGCTTTAGGAATACGTATCTATTTTATGACAATTAGATTTAGATTATGGGATCCACATGCTTGAAATATTTTGGTTGCTATGATAGTTGCTCATATGATACCTTGAAAGTTTGTCCAGAACCAATGTGGAGTAACTGAGGAGCAGTCAATTGGTTCATGTGGAATATGATTAATATATAATTTATATGCTAAATTTTGTCAGCTGGTCATTACTATGAGTATTTGAGAATTATGAGGAAACTGATTGATGTATTTGGACGATGAGACCAAGTGATAATGAATACTTCCATGGAATGCCAGTGTTACTCCTATAAGAGATTAAATTTGAGGAAATTTGTATTAATGTTTTTATTGAAAGTTACTGCATCTCTTGGCGAAAACGAATTCACGTAAATGACCCACGATTTATTTTTAATAAAGCTTAGTCTGTCAATTCAAGCTTATCAAAGTAAACAAAATAATAAAATGGTGTTTTTTTTCCGTCTTAAATAATTGCTGTTGAGTTGAGCTATAGAGCTTTCTGCACCTGTCCTTGTTTTTTCATAGACTTTCGTGCCAACATAAATATATTCAAAGGTATAATATATTTCACTAAGGGCCTGTTTGATAGTGTATATTTTCTAGGGAAAATGGAAAACAAATTCCATTTCCCTCCAGTTTGTTTGTTTGATAGGGAAAAAGTTGCCAGAAATCATTTTTCACCAATCCAGCCCACGTGACTTGTTTTCCCCAAAATTGAGGAAATGCTTTTCCCACAATTTTGGTGGGATGGGAAAAGTTTTTCCAGGTGCAGCTGCTTTTTCCTTTTTTTTCTTCTTTTTGTTTTTTGGCAATTGGAACAAATTTCATAACCAATTATATAAAAAAAATTCACTTTAGGTTGGTGTCGAGAAATTTGAAGTGCCACTTGTTACAAATGAAGTCCACGTGAGACTAAATGGATTTGGATTGTTTCAGTTTTTGTGAACTGTGCTCGCTATAAAAATGAGAGATTGAGGGACCATTCTGTTTCTTTTACTCGGGCAATATGTTAGAGACCAATGATGCAATTTTCCTTGTTTTGAGAAAGTTTTGTAAGCTGTTAATAAATTTTTACATCTTCCGGCAGTACCACCTGCATACTATTCACATCTGGCTGCATTTCGTGCTCGTTTCTATATGGAGCCTGATACATCCGATAGTGGGTCAATGACCAGTGGTGCAGCTGGTGGCCGTGGAGCAGGTGGTAGTGCTAGAAGTGCAAGGGTTGCAGGAGCCAATGCTGCTGTGAGACCTCTACCGCAGCTCAGGGAAAACGTGAAAAGGGTAAAGTTTTATTGTTGAGTTGTCGACTGGGTCGGTAGAATTGAATGGCTTGAATAAGGTTATTATCACGTCAAGATCTTAACTTGAACTTCATCACTGTGGTCTAAAACGCTGTAATAACTTGAAGATTGGTACCTTTAAGTAATTTCCTTTCCACGAGTATTGGTTTCCCTGGTCTACTAGAGATAAGTACAAGGATCTGTTTGAAGTAAATTTTTTGAGAATAGATTTTGTAAGAAGTGATTTTTTTGGTGAATTTGTGGTTAAAAAGTACGAAAATTTTGTGTCTTAAGTTCAAAGTTATTTTATTGAGAAAATGTGTGATTGAAAATGAATTTATGGGAAAAATGAGTTTTAAAGACTATGTACTAATATGTGCTAATTAGGGGTGGCAAACAGGTGAGCCGTTCACGGGCTCGACTCATCCCTGTGAGGTCCCCCGAGCCAAAGGCGTGAATGAAGCCTACTTCATTGACACGAGCTGAGATCGTGTGTCCAAAAGCCAAGTGCCTCGGTCCATTTCCACCCCTACGTTCAATAG